TGTTTCTTTTTAACAGATTGCTCATTGATTAACCCATTGCCAAACACTCTATTCTGCATAGAAAGGAATATAGGTTCCACTACTATTGCTATATAACAAAATGAATAAATCCAAGTATGAAACACTCTTTGAAGTCAGCAGGCATTCTTTGCTTCAAATAATTCTGAAGGGATTTAGAAGCCAGAGAGGATTCAAACTTGGCAAGAAGGAAAAATAAAATTCAGCTCAACCTAAACTGTAAATAAAAGAAAATATGGTGAGTATGGAGAAGGGAAACTTTACGTATAACCAGCGACTGCTACAATGGTAAATCCTCCTAGGTACCAACATGACTCATGCACTCTGTCCCTCCAGGCCTGTGCTGGTCTATCACCTTTTCAACCAGGCCTTCCCTTGTGCACCTTATGAAAAATGCAAACTCTCCTGGCCCCAAACACTCCAGCCTCCTTCTCTACTTTATTTTCCTCTATTCATTTATCACCATCTAACACATTAATGTTTCATTTACTTATCTTCCACCATAAGAGTATTAAGGAGTTCGGTCTGTTTGTTCACTGCGTGTCCCCAGTACTTAAAGCAGAGCCTGAAACGTAGTAGCTACTTACGTAATATTTGTCACGTGAATAGACGTAGTTTGTATTTTGTCAGATAAGCACTACCTTCACTTTAGGTATGTACACTTTTCACTGCGTGTCCCCAGTACTTAAAGCAGAGCCTGAAACGTAGTAGCTACTTACTTAATATTTGTCATGTGAATAGACGTAGTTTGTATTTTGTCAGATAAGCACTACCTTCACTTTAGGTATGTACACTTCACTACTCTATGATGTTTTATATAGGCACAGAAGCTTTGCTTTTGAACATCATTGCTTGATTTTTCAGATACCATTGGTTAAGTTGAAGATTGTCACAGAAGTGGCCTCTCACTGTCTGGAAGGACCTAGACTAGAATAAGAAGACACCGTTGCCTCTTCCATTCTCCATTATGCTACCCTACCCCTAGTTTTCCTGACTCTGTGATTAAACCTAAGAAACCTTCTCTCTGGGCTCAATTTTGATGTGCTCTCCTTTTATGGGTGATCACCTTCTGCCCTCACCCAATTGAAGAGACTGGGTCATGCCTCAGACTTTCCTTCCTTGTAGTGGACTTAACTGAATTCTGTCTGACCATCTTAGGTCTTTGGAAGAATTGGCACAAAAACAAGCAGGTTGCAGGTTCTGGAGGCATTCACCTGCACTGATTTGCCTGTGTAGCCATAGTGACTGTAAAGACCATGGGAAACAAAGCATTTCAACTTATATTCTACTTAATTATAAACATTCAACTATTCCTTTCTACAAGCACCAGCTACCTAGCTAAAGAACTTAAGAATAATGGGCTGGCCAGTTAGCTCAATTGGTTACAGCACAGTGTTGTAACACCAAGGTCAAGTTTTCAGATCCCCATACTAGCCAGCTGCCAAAAAAACAAATACAAGACAAGAGAATTTAAGAATAGTATTTGTGAGGCTAGCTTTCCTCTAATAATGTCTGTAGAGACAGAGAAACTTGAGATGGTCGTTTTCAAGTCCTATTTATTATCTCTGAATTACTTACTAGCACTTACAAGCAACTCTGGATTCTTGAAGTATACTTGACTCTTTTACCCAGATTATGGCAAAGCTGTGATTATAATAATCACTATGTTTAAAATCACAGGATGAAAGGCAACCGACTAGGTCATCTGGTATATCTGCTGGCAGAAAATATTTAAGTCATGCAGTCTGTTTTTTTCCCCAAGACTTCTAGAGAAGAGACATAATAATTTTCTCTATGAATGGGTTGTTTGAAGATCAGAGATTAGGGAAGTTTTTTAAAGTTTTACCCCATAATCCAATTTTAATTTTATTCGAGACTACTTTAAGTATTTTCTTAGCATAGAACTTCTTTCCAGTGTACTTCTGAAAAGCAGAAAAAGGAAGAAAAGGCTAATAAAAGGATACAGGAAAGAGCAGAGAGTGAAAGAGCAGGGCTAAAAGAAATCAGAGAGAAATCAAGAAGAAATGTAAAAAGAATTCCATGTTTGTTACCCTTTTATTTTTTGATTTGTAAAGGAATTGATATGATTCTTTTCTCCAGGTATTCATCACTTGAATACAAAGTACAAACAGACTTGGGAACGATTAAAAAAATGGGTGATTAACTGAAGATTAACTCTGGAAAAAACAAGTCCAGTTATTCGAAAATAATGTGTTTAGCCTTAATATTTTTTAATAAAAACACATAGTAATAAAAATTCAATCTATATAGAGAGGTTTAAGAGGAAAAGGCAAAATCTCCTGCCTACTCCCCTGCCACTTCTAGTTCTTTTCAACCACTGTTAAAATTCCTTGAGTAAATTTCCAGAAAGAAAATTAAATGCATGGCTCTGCATAGATGTGAAGTGCATGGGGGGTGGCGTTGGAGACGTACATTTAAAATTTTATTCCAAAGGAATAACATCATACCACCTGTATAGAAATTTAATTTTTTCTCTTTAAAACACATTTTGGGGATCTTTCTATGGGCTTACATTCATGCAAGCTCTCTGAGTAAAGGGACTTTTGTCTTTTTAAGCACAGTATCCCCAATTCCCAGAACAAAGGTCTTGCATGTATTTTTCCTTTAACAAAAATTTCTTAGGTAAATAAATGAATAAATCAGCAAATACAGATCAACTTCATTCTTTTGATCCAACGTATAATATTATATTGTTTTTTTGTTTGTTTGTTTTTTGTCTTTTTCGTGACCAGTAAGGGGATCGCAACCCTTGGCTTGGTGTCGCCCACACGGCGCTCAGCCAGTGAGCGCACTGGCCGTTCCTATATAGGATCCAAACCCGCAGCGCGAGCATCGCTGCGCTCCCAGCGCCGCACTCTCCCGAGTGCACCACAGGGTCGGCCCTAATATTACATTGTTTTAATGTACCAGAAGTATCGAGTAGGCTACTGAGAACATTTAGAATGTTTTCAGATTTGTGCTATTATTGCAGTAGACATTCCTAAACGTATGTGTTAAATCTTACACCTATGTATCTGTAAGTGAATCTAAAAAATTACTTAACGTAATAGTTCAGTCAACTGCATTTCTAATTCTGACAGATATTGCCAAATGACACTCCTAACAAGTTACATCAATTTATGTTCTCATAACACAACTTTTACTCTGGAGCAATTCACAAAACCTAAACATTAGTGACAAAAACACATATTCCTAGAAACTACATATTCTTTCATCTATAGTCATTTAATGGAAACTGTGAAGTGTGAGATCTCAAAACAACTAAAAATCCTTTTGGCTTTGCTGAACACTGCGGACATCCTTTTTCTCAAAGACAAAGTACTTTTTCCTGCAGGCCAGCTTTCTGGAACTTGGCCAAAAGTCATGGCTAACTGCTTCCTTTGTATATTCTAATATCAAAATATAATTCTATTATTGCCTTTTTGTAAAAAGTTCAATTACTGCATTTTTGTTAAATACAAGTAACAATTCAAGAGCATGCGTTATCGTTAAGAAAGTATTTATACAAAGAACACAGGTAGCAGTCAGTCCTGTTGAAGTGCTTGAAATTCTATCACTCCAGCTCTCACATGGATTCCACTGCCTATTGACATTAAAATAAGAAAAGTAACATATATGCAGACAGAAGGTTGTATTCCCATTAACATTCATGAGGGCTAAGCAGCTGAAGCCCTACACATCAAGTAGGGAATATAGCCTTTGTCTACTGATGAGAAAATGTCTCAGTGATAAATGGTTACAGACAGAGTGTCACAAGGGCAACAGCACACAGAACAGCTCCAACAAACTTTTTTTTTTTTTAAGTCTTCTCCTGCAGTTCTTTTTGTAGCATTGTGGTGCACAGTGCTTACTCCCTCAAATAAAAGAATAATATTGCAATGCAGCATTCCTAACCTTTGCTGAGGCACTTCCCAGAAAACCAAAAACATGCCCTTTGAAAACAATCTAAAACAAAGCTTCAAAGGCTTCATGATGTATAAATATTCAGACATTCTGAAAAGAAGTGCTCTGCACCCTGCATCCCGGCCATTTGTGCTCAAGATGCATATTGTCATAAGAGTTAAGATGGTCGTCAAAGTGCAATGTCTGTAACGTCAACACGGGGAGACATCAGACACGTTATTAAAATGCTTTACATTCATTTACATAAATTCAAACACATTATCATACTCATTCAGTATATTTGTGAGAGAAGCCATATATGAAGTCGTGAGTTTGTTATTTAACAAATTAATATCTCATAGAACCCAACTGTGACTATCGATGACTTTCAGTTAATTTTCAAACCAAAATAGGTTACAATTTGTTGACAGCCTTGACTCCTTGACACAAAATGAGGCTGCAGGGCAAACATTTCCCAGGGCCAGACTCTAGGTGGCTCACTTTCCTCATCCATAAACACAAAGCCGAAACAACTCCCCACCCTCGGCCCCCCAAGGGTTTCTCTCCAGTATTCTGCCTCTTCTGCATGAGAAAGGTAAAAAGCATGGCGCAATTTTCTAAATCCGGGAGGTCCATGCCGTGCTTTTGAAGTGTCCTTCCCCACCCTAAAGAAAACTCCGTTAGCAGACCAAGAAGAAATGCGCAACAGCTCCCAACAAATGCTCAGCACCGCCCCCTCCTCAGCGTGCTCCAGACTGTCTTTGCCATCGCTGTGTGGACGCTGGACAAAAGCGCAGCCAGCAGGTCAGCCCCGGTCGCAGGCTGGGCCCTCGGACTTGATCGGCGTAGCTACTCCACTGGGAGTGAGGAGGCGGGGCCGAGGGAGAGGAGGCAGGGGCGGGGCAAGGATTCGGACTCCGCCCCCGGGCCCAGGGGCGTCCTTGCGCCTGCGTGCTGGGCGTGGGCCGGTGCTTGGAAGCCCCCGGTTCCGGGCTCGCCCTACTCCCCCGCCCTCCGCCTCCTCTCCCGCCCCTTCCCACCTCCGCCCACTTGACGCGATGACGCACCGCAGGTTTGCGGACGTGGCGGCGGCGCACGGCCCAGAAGGCGGAGACGTTGGGGTGGCGGCGACCGCGGCGGTGGGCACGGACAACTCAAACTGCAGGTTTTGCCATGAGCTTGCCCGGGACAGCAGCGGCAGCGGTGGACGCGGTAGCTGTGTCCTCGCTACGTCCCACCTGCTAACGGGACAGATTTTAACATTATGGCAGGGAGGCATCAGAATCGTAGTTTTCCCCTTCCGGGAGTTCAGTCAAGTGGTCAAGTACATGCATTTGGAAATTGTACAGACAGTGATATGTTGGAGGAGGATGCTGAAGTGTATGAGCTTCGATCCAGAGGAAAAGAGAAAGTCCGAAGAAGTACATCAAGAGATAGACTTGATGACATTATAGTATTAACAAAAGATATACAGGAAGGAGATACTTTAAATGCAGTAGCCCTTCAGTATTGTTGTACGGTAGCAGATATCAAGAGAGCTAACAATCTCATCAGTGATCAAGACTTTTTTGCCCTCAGGTCTATCAAAATTCCAGTGAAAAAGTTTAGTTCATTGACTGAAACACTTCATCCTCCAAAAGGAAGACAAGCATCACGTCCTTCATCTGTTCAGTATGCTCCAGAACAACAGGAAATTCTACCAGCTAATGATTCTCTTTCTTCCAGTGAGTCCGCTGGTAGCTTTTTAAAAGAAGTAGACCGAGACATAGAACAAATAGTAAAGTGTACAGACACCAAGAGAGAGAACCTCAATGAGGTAGTGTCTGCCTTAACACAACAAATACGTTTTGAATCTGATAGCAAGAACATTCAACGTAAGGATCCCTATTATGGAGCAGACTGGGGAATAGGGTGGTGGACAGCTGTAGTGATAATGTTGATAGTAGGTATAATAACACCTGTGTTTTATTTGCTGTATTATGAAATTTTAGCCAAAGTGGATGTTAGTCACCATTCAACAGTGGACTCTTCACATTTGCATCCAGGAATCACACCCCCATCACAGCAGAGAGAAATGGAAAATGGAATTGCTGCAACTAAAGGAATACACTTTGGCCAACAAGATGATCATAAACTATATAGTCAAGATTCTCGGTCACCTTCTGCTCCGCACAAAACATAGCAGTTAGCTTATAATCACAAAGTTAGTGATCACTTGTGCATCTGGAATGTGGTGGATAATATTCAGGAACCCACTTTGAAGGAAGAATTTAGGAAGACTGAAGATGCTTTTATTTTTTTTTACCTTTAAAAAAATTTTTGAGCCATGTACAAGTGGATTGTATATAAAACCTCTACAGTTGTTAGTTGATGTTGAGAGCAGTCAATCCATTCATCTATTGTATCCATGCTTAAAGTAGAAATGAATTTAAGTGTATGTTTAGGAAGTTCTTTACTTGGAAGGTATATCATTTTTGTTACTCAAAACTAGTAATGTTTAAGTTTGATTTTTTAAATTATTTTTGGTTTAAGGTTATTAATGTTAATTTTATGAAGCAAAATAATGATCTCACCAGATGTCTGCAACTGAAGAAAATTTACTACTGAAAACCACCAAAATACTTAGTTGCAAAAAAAGTTTGGTTCTAGAATTATGGTAGCATATGCTAACTGAGTCCTTCTTTGAGACATTATTTTGCTTTGGCTTCCATGACATGAAACTTCCATGGTTTCCTCCTCCTCTGGATGCTCCTTTTCCATCTTTGCAGGCTGATTTTCCTTCACCAAGATACTAATTGTTGGGCTTATTCAAGGCTCAGTCCTGGACCCTTTTATTTTGTACTCTCTTTCTAGGTAATCTTGTCTAGACTAACAGCTTCACTTTCACCTATGTGCAAGGTTAATCATGAAATTATATTTTAACTTGGACCTTTCCTTTGAATTTGACTACATCGATCACTTGTGTAGTTGACACTCCTTTTTGTTGTCTTAGATAATCACAGTCACACTCAACACCCCTCCTCCCCCCCAGCTCTTCTTGCAGTGTTCTAGGGAATGGCAACGCAACTTATTCAGTTATGCAAATCGGAAATCTTAGTGTGATCCTTAACTTCTTCCCTCTCTTCATATCTGAGCCATGTTAAGTCCAAAGTATTTTATCTCCAGAATGCCATTTACTAGCTTTCTCCATCTTTCACAACAATAATTGAGAGCAGTCTATACTTTCTTAAGTGAATAATTAACATAAAGCTAAAACTGTGAATGTGGGATTCATTTTTTAGGTTCTTCTGTTTGTTAGTTTTTGATGAGAATAGATTAACTTGATGAAGGTGAATTGAGGGTAAGTATGCAAGTAAACAAAAAATATTCATTGATGTATTTTTTAACTTAGGTCAGCTCTCAATCTTACACTGTTTTTTTTTCTGGAAGTATAAATGAACAAAACGAACTAAAAGATTGTTCATAGTCTTTATGAACCATAAGTTGAATTTGAGGAAGACTCTAACTTAGTTGTGTGAATAGATTCCAGGAAAGAAAAATCCCTGGTCAAGACAAAATCCTGATGTATATAGAAGACATATACCGTACTAAATATAAATACTGAAATCAACATGATCCAGGGAATAAGTAGTACAAAAGATATTTCTCTTTCAATCCTGTTAAAATGCCAGACAAGCCAGAAATCAACATGATCTAGGGAATAAGTAATTCAAAAGATATTTCTGTTTCAATCCTGTTAAAATGCCAGACAAGCCAGAAAGTTAATAAAAATGTTATGTATATGTACAAAACATATACTTTGATTTCATCAGAACTATAAGGAGTATGTTTGGTCACAAGTTTTCAAGACATAACACAAATTTATTTTCCTAATTTTCTTCACATCCTCAGAATAAGAGGAACTTAATTTTTTGACCTAAAAAATTATAGCAACTTGCCTTTGTTAAAATGTAGTAATCCCACATGTTTTGTGATATTTGTTCTACTAAAGTAGGTTACCTCTTTCTCCCATGCCATACCCTACACTGCCAGGTATGTTTATTGTATTTCAGCAGTTATAAAACTTGAACCTACATTTTTAAATAACTTAAAAAAAAAAAAAAAAAAAAAAAAAAAAAGGGCCCTNAGTTACTTTTTGTGGCCTCTTGTAATCTTTGTAGCATTGAGAGAGGTGAAGAGAATTGAGTTAGATGACTTGAATACTATGTACTTTCTAATCTCTTAGTAATTGGGTCAGGTAATTGCCTGGGTCAGAGTCGAGTTTTTCACCTACAGACACAACCAATTCTTGGTTATTCAGACAGAATACTGTTTGTGGTATTCCACTGCCTCCATTTCATTACAAAGGGGAGTGGGGAGAGAGAGAGAGACAGGTGAAGTTGTAGCCTTCAAGTATTATTTAGAAATATAACATGGAAAGAGCTTGAAATAAATAACTATCTAAAATGGCTTTTGGGCATTTTTCAGTGAATTCCAGTTAGCTGTACTAAGCCTGTTTTCAATTTCTAAAAAGAAATTATCAGGGAGAAAGTCTAAAGAGACAGTATAACTCAGTCAATATAGCGAGGTGTAAATTGTTGTATATTAAGTGATTCTTAATTTTTTGAATCATGGGTGTCTTTTGAGAGTATGAAATAATTCCCCCTAAAGCTTGCTTTAGTTTGGTGGTTGTTGTGAGGTTAGGAATTGTAGTTCGTGGTAATAAATAACGTAGCACCTTGAGAACAGTTGAAATAATCTACTTTATATATAGCAATTAGTTAACTATATTATCTGAATAGGAACACTTGAATTTTTAAAGCACTACAGTGTTGCCATAGAGCAGGGTCATATATTGGTTTTCAAGGGTTGTAGTATTCAGGTATACGACATAGTTTCAAAACATTTCATCATAAGTGTGTGCCATGAGTATAATCGATTGTCATCCATTTTACAAATTCTTTCAGAGTTGGTCTTTTCTGTTTTTTTGTTTTGTTTTGTTTT